GGGGTATTATTAGGCCCGAGCTCCTTACGGGGAAAGGGCCTATTGTTTTTGCTCGAGAGATGTCAAATTCTGCACTTTGAGCCTTAATTTCACCCCCTGAACATGCATGAAAAGTTGTAAAAATTTGATATTTTGGTGTTTATTTTTATGGGACTCAAAAAATGGCAGAACAGCCAATGGGAGTTTCAGGGGTCACGTTTGTCGTAGAGCCATAAAATTTGATACACATGTTCCTCAAGTCAAGATAAGACCAAAATGTTATCATGGCTCCGCCCTCTGACAAACAGGGAGCCCATAAATTTCACTGCAAAATGGAAAAATGATCCGCAATAATTTTCATACATGTCGGTTTGAAATCTTCTCCTCCTCGGCCGTTTCACCGATTTGCCTCAAAATCGCTCCACATCATCTCAACACATGTACCTTCAAAATGACCAAAGGGATCTTTTGATCAGTTAAACGTTGTTTGAGCAGCGGAGTGTTTATTGGCCGTTTTTCACAACATTCTATTTGCTCCCGTTTGCACATACAAAAACTTGAATTCATGGTTCAACTCTTGGGTCTAGGTAATTTGAAAATTAAAATTTTGAAATTGGCTCTATAGCGCCACCTACAACAGCCAATTTAAAAACGCCTATGAGAGGGGTTCGAGGTCAAAATTGTCGTAGAACCACTTCAAGATCTACTTCTCGACTCCCACTGATGTCTGCTGTCGTTGTGTCCTTGGGCAAGACACTTAACCCCTCTTTGCCTGAAGCCCCCGCTGAAAGATCTCAGCTCCTGTGGACTCACCCCCTGCAGGAGGATCAGGGAGGGGCTGGTGCTCTGTGGACTGGGTGCAGCTCTGACTGCCACCCCCCCGACCCAGAAATGGATTAAGGGGAAGAAAATGGATGGATGGATGGATGTTCCTCAAGTCAAGACATGGAAAAAAATGTATCATGGCCCCGCCCTCTGACAAACAGGAAGCCCATAAATTTCATTGCAAAATGGAAAAATTAAAACCAATCATTTTCATACATGTCGGTTGGAAAGCGACTCCTCCTCAGCCGTTTCACCGATTGGCCTCAAAATCGCTCCACATCATCTCAACACATGTAATTTCAAGATTACTTCAGGGATTTTTGATCAGTGAAACAATGTACGAGCAGCGGAGCGGCAAAATGTGACCTTTTTTGCCATTTTTTACGATCAAAAAATAGCTTCCATTTGCACAAACAAAGTCTGATTTGCACAAAAATGTAATACATTGTTCAACTCTAGGGTCTAGGTCATGTAAAAGTGAAATATTTGAATTTGGCCCATTAGCGCCCCCTACAGACTGAGGAAAAGTTTTACATTGGAAGCCAAACCAACTCAACTCATCATGTTCAGTACAATTTCACAAACATTCTTTTATGGCTACGGGACCAAATAATACCCCCGCGCGTGGCGGCGCGGGGTGGTGTGGGGCTCTGTGGCACAGGGCGGCGTGGCGCGTTGCAGGGGGTGTGGTGTGAGGCGGCGTTGTGCGCAGCGGCGTGGTGAGAGGCGGCGTGGTGCGGTGCGGCTTGGTGCAGGGTGGCCTGGTGCAGGGCGGTGTGGACCAAATAATAGCGCGGCTTGGTGCAGGGCGGCCTGGTGCAGGGCGGTGTGGACCAAATAATAGCGCGGCGGCATGGTGCGGGGCGGCTTGGTGCAGGGCGGCTTGGTGCAGGGCGGCCTGGTGAGGGGCGGCCTGGTGGTGGGGGCGGTGTGGTGCGGGGAGGCTTGGTGCAGGGCGGCTTGGTGCAGGGCGGCTTGGTGCAGGGCGGCTTGGTGCAGGGCGGCTTGGTGCAGGGCGGCTTGGTGCGGGGCGGCCTGGTGCGGGGCGGCGTGGTGCGGGGAGGCGTGGTGCGGGGCGGCTTGGTGCGGGGCGGCTTGGTGCGGGGCGGCTTGGTGCGGGGCGGTGTGGTGCGGGGAGGCGTGGTGCGGGGCGGCTTGGTGCGGGGCGGCTTGGTGCAGGGCGGCTTGGTGCAGGGCGGCTTGGTGCAGGGCGGCTTGGTGCAGGGCGGCCTGGTGCAGGGCGGCTTGGTGCAGGGCGGCTTGGTGCAGGGCGGCTTGGTGCAGGGCGGCCTGGTGCAGGGCGTGGTGCGGTGCGGGGAGTCGCGCGCTACGGCAAGGGCCGTTCGACGCCACTTGCGGCTTTAATTTAATGTAATTATTGTTATTATTTTTTCTTTCTGTCTTTATGTACTGTATATGCTTATTGTCTTGTCTGTTTTTGTGGTCATGTATGTAACTTTTGTTTTATAACCGGACCATCCACAATAAATAAATACATGTTTTATTGTATGTACAAATTATGACGTCATCATTAGGAAATGAGGAACAGTCCTTACTTAATAATACTGTTTGGGAAAAGAGTAACTAATGAGTAGTAAACATGAACGTACACTCTGTTCATATGAGAAGGTATAACTAATGTTTTGTAAATGATTTGTTAATATGAGCATTCCATTACCATGGAATATTGTAATAATCATTTGTAAACGATTATATAATGTCATGATTTATAATTAAATGTCAATAAAACATAAAAACATGTGTTGTATATTTTCTGTTTCTGAGTAGTTTATGATATGAATACTTGGTAAATGAGTTGATACTGTGTAGATCATGAGTAGTATACTATATAATACTTTTATTTTGATGTTGATGAATATTTAACATATCACCTAATCATTGATCATTAGCTGGAATGGCATAAGGGGAATAGTAAATAAATGGTTGGAGAGCTATCTATGCGAGAGGAGACAGATGATGAAATATGTAAAGTGTCTACCAAAATTAAATTCATCCTCTTTGCTGATGATACCAACATTATCTATTCCGATGAAAACCTTGAGCAACTTTTGGCCTTGGTAACAGTTGTAACAAGCCTGGCTCAAGACCTGCCACAACGCAAATCACTGCGTGGGGAAAATACCACAACCAGGTCAGGCCGTTTAAGATGATTTATTTTAACCACTAATAACAGCAAACAAAGACCGTAAATAACCAAAATAAAAGGGGTGTGCAAAAGTGCAAAATAAATGTAACTGGAACATAGGTGCAAAACAAAACCAAAAGCCGAAGGATTACCTGGGAAGAGAGCAAAGAGAGAGACATGAGATGGTGCAAACAATTTATCCTCCTCAGATGCCTCCAATCAGACGGCCCCACCCCTGCCTGCCAGGAGGAGCCTCCCACAACAGGCAGGGGAGGGCCGTGACACAGTGGAAATGAATAAGTTAAAAAGCTGGTTTAATATTAACAAACTGTCATTGAATCTGACAAAGACAAAAATTATGCTCTTTAGTAATCGTACAACTAATATACCTATTAGAATTGTTATAGATGACACACCAATAGAGCAAGTCCAACAAAACACATTCCTGGTTCTTATCATTGATGAAAAAATCTCTTTTTCACCCCACATTTGTTACCTGAGAACAAAAGTTGCCAAATGTGTTGAAATGATGAAAAAAATCATGTAATTTACTGCACACCAAATCTCGTCCCCTTATTCACTCATGTCGTACCTATATTATTGTGTTGAAGTTTGGGGAAACTGCTATGAATCCCATCTAAAGCCTTTGATCACCCTGCAGAAAAAGGCCATTAGGATTGTCTCTGGTGTACACTACAGACATCATTCTAATCTGCTGTTTGTAGAGTTTGAAGAACTCAAACTGCAGGACGTGATCAACTTTAAAACTGCTCAAACTATGTTCAGGGCATCTCAAAACTCACTGTATCTCAGTGCGGGGAGTAAAACTGTGGAATAACTTGCCGGATGAATTAAAAAACTGTCCAAGCATAATTCATTTCAAACAGGTGTTTAAAAAAAATGTATTTAAGAAATATATAGAGGAAGAAGAGTGATGCAAAGGGGAGGGTGTAGGGTCAGAGAGTGTTTGGGCCTTTGTCTGTGGTGCGTTGTGTATGTGTGTGTATTGTCTTGTTTGTCTTGTCTCTGTGGTCATGTCATATATTGTTTCACTCTATTACTGTACAATTTTACAGCTGTTTACTGTATGAATGATCCTGTATGTATACTGTTCTGCACACTTCTGTATACTGGTGCACACTGGGGTAGTCTTGCACAGTTTTTCCAATGTGGTTTTACTGGAAATGGAAAAGAAATGAATCTGAATCTGAATCTTGTACTGTACTTTGTGTTGAATGTGTGAGGGGGTTTGGATTCCTATAAGCGTTTGCTTCATTCACCTCCTTTTCAAACCATGCACTTGTATATCAGCCTGTTATGTTGTTTTTTGCGATTATGATGTTTGTGCAGGTTTTGAAATAATGGGTTTACATTTACGCCAACTTTATGACTTGGTGTATATTTTTTTCGCTCACTTCCAGATTGTTAAATGCCAAAAGTGTAGTTTTTTCCCGTACCCTTCATTTACACCTTGTTTGGTCGTAAGAAAGTTTCATAAATGAGGGCCATTTCCTCTACTTTTGGTAGTATACAGGCTGCATAAAGTTAATGTCACACACACTAGTTCCTTCCAACCAATTATTTTGCATTATTTGCACACTCACTGTTCATGACCTTCCACTGCCCTTTTCATCAATCCTTATTTGATTATCTCAAATAAAATTAGAACTCTGTCCACAAGCTTTTACACTGAATGACCAAATGACAATCTGAAGATTGTCGCTGAAAACTAAACACACAGGAAGAGGAGGTCTTTGCCTGTCACTTAAACAAGCCGGTGAAGATCGGCATCACACAGAGGACCACCATGAAACCACCAGCACCAAGGCTCACGGGTGAGTTTATTCTGGGACAGTGCATTGGTTCTGTATCCTTCCTCACTTTCTGTATGTCATACAATGCTTTAAAATATATTTGTCGATCTATTACAAACATTTCATTAAAAACATTTAAGAACTTGAAACAATATTCGACAATATTGTAAAATGTAGTTTTCTTATTAACCCTACTAATAAAGATATATTTTGTGATTAATTATTCACTTTCTTGATTATTTGTCAGTGACTCCAGACCAGTTCTTCAAACATAAGCCAGTGTCTCTGAGCTGTGGGAGCACTGGAAACTGGACTGTGGTCAGAAACACCAGCACAGACAGCAGGAAGCGCTGTGGACCGGACTGGGGCAGGATTAATGGTTCTGTGTGTGAGATCGAGTCACTCTATTCTGATGACAGTGGTCTGTACTGGTGTGAGAGAGACGGACACCGCTCTGCAGCTGTGAACATCACAGTTCATGAACAAAGAGGTAATTCTCTTCACACTCACAAACTACACGAATAAATATTAGCTCTTATTATCCGGTTTTGTCTGACTATTCCATCGGCCAACATTATGTGATCTACACATTTGTTTGTTTTGTACACGTATTTGGATTCAAACTGTATATAAAGGTGAACAGAGAAAAAAAAATACAGATGAGACAATGTCCTAACGTCTCAAAAACTATGTTTAGTTTTATGATTATATTTTTTACTTGTCATTTCATGTTTTAGAATGTGAGATAAATATTCAGTAGATAATTTATGGTGAAACAAATGTCAAGGGCAAATAATGCACATTGTGGAGGAGCCTTCCTTATTGCTCCTCCCTCACATACTTTTTAATCTGCTTTAATCATTTTAAATATTTTTATTTACATTTTATTCTGCAACAAAACACAAATAACTGATTTTATTAACGTTTATTATTATGAGGAATAACCCCTTGAGATGAATCATCTCGTTTCTGAGGTGGTCCTCAAAATCAAATAAAGAAATAACAATACAGCAGCAACAGTCAATTATATACAAAACAAAATGGTTACATTAAACAAACACAAAAATAAAATAAAACAGGAAAAAACCTCAACACATTCACTCACACACACACTCAGCTCTCAGAGGTTACCACTCCCCGCATGGTCTGACGTCAGACGCCAACTTGGAGCAGGGCCAGCACCTTTACCTGGAGGACTCGTTTCTGCGGATTATAATCGCTTGTGGAGTTATTTCGTTTTGGATTACTGAGACACTGTGGATCTAACGAGACCCGACCCTGTGGATCATTGCCCCATGGTCGCTGCTTGGCTCCAGGACAGGTTTTGGTGAACCCTGGTGCATGTGTGGGGCCGTGAGTAGAACCGTGGCCTCACCACTGACACTGACTCTTCTTTTTTTTTTTTTGTTCAAATATTGACAGCACAGGAGCGCTTTGATCACAGGGACCACTGTTGTTTGTGAATGTTCATTTTGACTATTGTGTGGGATTGCGCTCAAGTGTGGGGGGTGTTGGCACACTGTTTTCGGCCGAAAGCATGTTATATACCTGTGCTTATTTCACCCTGCCGATGTGACCTCTCGTGCCCTATCTAAAGCGTTGTAGCTCTGTCGTTTTGGAAGAGATAGGCGAATTGTTACACACTCACATATAATATTGTGTCTCATGGTCGACATATTATTGACCGATGCAGGATTGTCTGTTGGACAGTTAGAGTCTAACAAGGAATGTGGTGATGATCCAGGACACTTTAACATTCTACAACATTTATGTACATTTGTGGCGGCACGCTGGCTGGAGTTTGCATGTTCTCTCCGTGTCTGCGTAGGTTTCCTCTGGGTGCTCCGGTTTCCCCTACCACTAAAAACATGCACAATAGGTATGTATGTAAATGAGAGAGTGAATGGATGGTGTTGATTGGGGGCTGATGGTCCAGTGTGTTCGGCGACTCGCTTCTGTCATCACTGTGTGAGGAATGATTGGAACAATATCTGAACTCTGAACATTGTAAAGCGCTTTGGGTGACCTTGGTCTGTAAAAATGCGCTATATAAATAAACATGACTTACTTATATTTATGTGTTCTATATTCTGTTTTGTGTGTATTAACGGTTGATTCTGTGTTGGTGACTCTAAACACAAAACACTTTTTTCTGAAGCTGCATAGACACAACCTCAGTCTCTTTTCAAAACCAACCCATCACACCAAAACAGTTGCTCATGTTCTCAAAAGCAAACTCTGACACCACAATACCACGGGTACCAAGGTCTGCAAAAATGTGAACACTACTGAACATCATTAACCACATTAACAAAACAATTAAACACAATTTTCAGAGTGTGAGACTGTTCTTTTTACACATATAACACTTATTTATTCTCAAATATGTTTCTGGCATTTATGTACTATAGATTTGTGCGTTTCATGAGTATAGTTACATCATGCAGAAAATGCCGTTACATCACGACTCAATACAAAAATGAGTTGCTCCATGACACACAATAGATACAACAGTACAGTAACAATTACACACAATGTTCATTTATTTTATTACAGTATGTTAATAATTAAAAATGTTGTGAATGTAAATCAGTGGCGGAGCCAGACTTTTAAACAGAGGGTGGCCAGCGTTTTTTTAAGGGGTCCACATTTATACTATTCCGAAATTTTATTTCACACAAAAACTGGCTAAACGATACATTTTAATCTTAATCTTGTCATTATTTTTAATATAAAGTGAACTGAGAGCACACTTGGAAACTACAAAGCAAAAAAGTGTATTTAAATAGTAGTCTGAACAAAAAAGTGCAAAATAACATCATTCAAACATTGCATTACATTTTTCTTTTAACAAATTTAGCAAATTCCTACGGTTCTGGTGTAAAGCAGCAAAGATGTTGACAAACTCATCCATATTCAGCCCTGAGCCCTCCTTGACCCTACACTGAGGATACCAAGATGACTCAGTCATCTGCCATGGTAGTTCTGAGATGGTTTTTAATAAGTTTTAGGGCAGAGAAACTTCTTTCACAAGACGCAGTACTGACAGGTATTAAAAAGATCTTTGCAAGCCTCAAAAGCTCATGAAACACTTTCCAAACGTTCCAAAAGGACAAGGAAGTCCAATAGGGACTCTCTAATCCATTTTTTCCTCCCAAGAAGCCGCCTAGTTTGACGTACCTCATGCTTAACGTCCTCTATATCTGACTCAAAGGTTCTGCCAAATGAAAACAGGGGCTCTTCTTTCAAAAATTTTTTGGGGTCAAGCGACTGCACATCATCCATAATCTTAGCTATTTTTTTTCTTTTTTTGTGTGTGAAAAAACGCCTTCTGCCAATAGACAATCCTGCACCTGTCTGCGACACCCTCTCATTCTCTGAAACTCAATTACATAAGCTATATTTTAATACAACACAACAAATTCCTCATCATCTCAAAACATACTGCCTCCGAGTCTGACCTTCAGGTGAGGTTTCATCATCCTGATCTACAGGCCTTTTCCTAACAAAAAAAGGCCTGTAGGCAATGTTTCCTCCTTTTCTTTTCATGTTTACACTAAAGGGAAGAGGGCGATGATACGATGGGCAATTAATAATGGAAAATACACACGCATGCACCCCGCACGCACACACACGCACACGCACGCACGCACACAGGCACGCACACAGACATAGGCACGCACACACGCACACAGGCACGCAGACCCACACTGGCACACACAGGCACGCACACACACGCAGACACACTGGCACGCTGACACACGCACACAGGCGCGCAGACGCACACACACATGCACACACTAAAAGTTCTACAAACTGAACAAGTAATGCGCTGCAGTACGCGTGTCTATACTTTGTGTCAAATGTAAACGGTTGGCTCTGCATCGCTAACTTACCTCTTTGTTTTCATCACAACTTGGGCACATGTGTGAGTCCAACAACCCAAAGCATTAGCACACAGCACTGGCTCCACACCATGGATGTATTATATTAACTGGATAGGGTATTACTAGCTTGTAGCTGAATAACTCATGTGCTCAGGGGATTCTCGCGGTACTGCAGACTGAACCAGACTAAATTCACGTGGGCTACCCAGAAATTTTCCCCATAGGACTCAATGCATATTAAAACAGCTCGACCTCAGCTGACAGAGAACCTACAGCTTTGATAAAGATCGGATTTTGTGGGAATTTTAGTGTCCCTTGTAATCCTGAACTTTTTTTCTTCTTAAATCCTTCGGTTTTGTTTAAATCCACACTTTAGTGCCACAAACTCTGCTCCTCTGGCTCTCGCTCTAACTCCCGCTCTGATGAACTGCTCTGATTGGTCAGAGCGCGGCCGAGCCCCTCTGTGCACGTGCGTGAGACCCGGTGTGAGACCCACACACGCGTGTTTGGCGCAACGCATTATGGGAGATCATCCACTGCGCAGAACCGGGAGGACCAGACGATGCCCAAATACAGGCGAGTTTCCCATAGATCTTTGCGAGTTTCAGGCAACTTCCGCTAATCTTTCAGCCCCCATGCTGTCACAAAGCGCCACTGAGCACAACCATTCATTTGAACAGGGCGCCATCTTGGATCGCCGGGGCTTGCTCCACACGGAGTCGGGGTGCGTTCACAGACGGGTGAAACCGTGGGAATTTTTAGCTTTTGGCGGAAAAAGTGCGGAAGATTCTCAAGATTAACATTATTACATTGCCGTCTTCCGAGGGGGGCACTGGGGGTGGCAAGGATATTTTTAGAGGTGGCAGTGGCCACCCTGGCTACCCCTCTGGCTCCGCCACTGATGTAAATTGACACACCTGCTCCTCTCCCTCTTTGACCTGCTCCTCTCCCTCTTTGACCTGCTCCGCTCCCTCTTTGACCTGCTCCCTCTTTGACCTGCTCCGCTCCCTCTTTGACCTGCTCCGCTCCCTCTTTGACCTGCTCCGCTCCCTCTTTGACCTGCTCCGCTCCCTCTTTGACCTGCTCCGCTCCCTCTTTGACCTGCTCCGCTCCCTCTTTGACCTGCTCCGCTCCCTCTTTGACCTGCTCCGCTCCCTCTTTGACCTGCTCCTCTCCCTCTTTGACCTGCTCCTCTCCCTCTTTGACCTGCTCCTCTCCCTCTTTGACCTGCTCCTCCTGTTGCAGTTTAGGGCTAATCAAGAATAAATTGTATTGTATCGTGAAAAGTGATGTGTGCGTTTGTTTTATCCAACCAAAAGTTTCATAATAGCTTTTATTTAAGTACTTCTAAAGTATTGAGTATTGAGACACAAACATTAGAATTGCAGGCACTACTGTATGTGAGCATTTCAATTTGGAGAGACGTGAAACAAGAAGCTTTTGAGTATTTATTGGGAGGAGGTTTGGCGCCCTAGGCCCCGGTGCGGCCTTCAGATCGGAGGGGCTCTGCGATGGAGCATGCCAATCCCCAAAAAGGTTGTGAGTTGATGGAGTTTTGCAGCCTGGTTTGAAGGGGACAGACGTCGAGACTACTCTATGCTGTGACCGCTATCGCTATATGCTGTGACCGCTATCGCTATATACTGTGACCGCTATCGCTATATACTGTGACCGCTATCGCTATATACTGTGACCGCTATCGCTATATACTGTGACCGCTATCGCTATATACTGTGACCGCTATCGCTATATGCTGACGAGTCGCGACCATCGCGCGCTAACCATTTTTTGCTATATACTGTGACCGCTAACCATTTTTTGCTATATACTGTGACCGCTAACCATTTTTGCTATATACTGTGACCACTATCGCTATATACTGTGACCGCTAACCATTTTTTGCTATATACTGTGACCGCTATCACTATATGCTGTGACCGCTATCTATTGTGACCAAACTTGCGGATCCTCATCCGAGCAGTCTCTGCCGAGCAGTCTCTGCCGAACAGTCTCTGCCGAACAGTCTCTGCCGAACAGTCTCTGCCGAACAGTCTCTGCCGAACAGTCTCTGCCGAACAGTCTCTGCCGAACAGTCTCTGCCGAACAGTCTCTGCCGAACAGTCTCTGCCGAACAGTCTCTGCCGAACAGTCTCTGCGGGCGACCATTGCTTGCGGATACTCAGCTGCTGCGACCATTGCTTGCGGATACTCAGCTGCTGCGACCATTGCTTGCGGATACTCAGCTGCTGCGACCATGCTTGCGGATACTCAGCTGCTGCCGCCACCAGGAAGTTTGCAAGTGTTTTATGGAGATGCAAAGAGGCGCTGGGCTGCCAGGATGGTCGAAGTGTCAGGCCTGATGTATGAGGAGAGGGCCGATGATGACCAGCGGCCCAGCTGCTGGAGGGCGGAATAGGGGAGCCCAAGGGACGCGGCGCGCGTGGCGGCGCCTATCCGAAGGAGTGGGCTGTGTAGAGATGGGGAGACAGGTTACAAGCAGCAGTACGGACTTGAGTTGGGCTCTGAAACGGACGGATGACATTGGAAGGTTATCGGGAGCGCGGAGGAGATGCTTTGAGGGAAGGCGTCGGGCCAGGGCCCGGCGAACCACTGGACCTGGAAGAGACCCCCAAAACCCACGGACGGGGCTGCGTCCGTGAAGAACCGCAGGGCATCTGAGGACGGGATGACGTCACTGTAAAAAAAAAAGATACACCGTCCCAGCGGCTCTGCAGACGGGACCCGAATGCCAGGTCGGAGCAGCACCCCGCGTCCGGGCAGACAGCGTCGTTGAGGGAGGAGACGGAGCCAGATACAAGCAGTTCCATATACAAGCAGTTCCATATACAAGCAGTTCCATATACAAGCAGTTCCATATACAAGCAGTTCCATATACAAGCAGTTCCATATATATACACAGTTCCAGATATATATACAGTTCCAGATATATATACAGTTCCAGATATATGCAGTTCCATATATTGCATGAGCAGTTCCAATATGAGCAGTTCCAATATGAGCAGTTCCAATATGAGCAGTTCCAATATGAGCAGTTCCAATATGAGCAGTTCCAATATGAGCAGTTCCAATATATTAGCAGTTCCATATATTAGCAGTTCCATATATTAGCAGTTCCATATATTAGCAGTTCCATATATTAGCAGTTCCATATATTAGCAGTTCCATATATTAGCAGTTCCATATATTAGCAGTTCCATATATTAGCAGTTCCATATATTAGCAGATCCATATATTAGCAGTTCCATATATTAGCAGTTCCATATATTGGCAGTTCCATATATTAGCAGATCCATGTATAAGCAGTTCCGTATATAAGCAGATCCATATATAAGCAGGTCCAGATATAAGCAGAACCAATATATGCAGTTCCATGCACTGTATAAGCGGTTCCAGGTATAAGCAGTACCATATAATCAGTTCCAGGTATGAGCAGTCCCAATATGAGCAGTTCCATAAAAGCAGTTCCATAATACATAAGCAGTTCCGTAATACATAAGCAGTTCCGTAATACATAAGCAGTTCCATAATACGTAAGCAGTTCCACAATACGTAAGCAGTTCCATAATACGTAAGCAGTTCCAGATATAAGCAGTTCCGTGAGGGATTAAACTGAGAGCTCGCAGTCCAATTTGAGGGATTAAACGGAGCTTGCAGTCAGAGTGAAGGATTTAAACGGAGCTTGGTTAAAGAGAGCCTGCAGACCAATGCGAGGGCTTTAAACTGATGCTTGCCCACCAATGCACGGGGCCAACTGAGCCTGCATTACAAGCGCGGGGCCAACTGAGCCTGTAGGACAATGCGAGGGGAATAAACCGTCCGCAGATCTCATACTTACCCGCAACGCCAGAAGATAAGGGACAACACGACGGGACCACACCGTATGGCACGAGGAGGCAGGGATGCGCACGGCTCCCACCGCACCGGTCCAGACCGGCCGTATGCAGCAGCAGGCCGCGACGAGACGAGCAGCGGCGAACCCGCAGAAAGAGCCCGCAAAGGAGGAGAGCGGCAAAGACCCACGGACCACAGCACGAGACCCGCAGCAGGTGCAGCGACGTGGAGGAGGAGCAGACCACACGCAGCAGGACAGAGGACAGCAGGGACACGCACGAAGTAAGTGAGAGTAGAACAAAGCGATTCCTCCAGAACGACTCTTTGCAAGGCTTCGCTCTTTGCTGCAGCTTCAAGAGGCCGAGAATGGGAGTTCCTCCGCTTTTAAGCAGCTTGCCTGGCTGGACCGGTGATTGGAAGGGGGCGTTTGCCGTGCGATAGGCTGGGGATGAGAACCGGCCTGGAGGGGTTACCTTTGGCTGACGTCTACCAAATTGAACTTACGCTGGCTGCATGATGTCAGGAGCATGACCGGGGAGGGCTTGAATAGTGTTTTGCCTGACCTTCAACTAGATCTTCCACATATGACATGGGCGTGAGACCAAACCCATTTTTTCCCACTTTCTCTAGCAACAAATCTTAAGACCAATGACAGAACTGGGAATGCAGAACTTGCCCACCATCCAATTTAATAAAGGTTTCTCCTTCCCTGTTTGTTCTTCTAATTTTGATTTACTTTCGAGGCACAAAATTGACCAAAGTTGCAATTAAAGTAGCAGTATGTAATATTTGCATGTCAAGTCATCATTAAATGGCCCCCAATATTTCAAAAGGCGTTATTAAATGATGCTCTTTTCGAATACATCTTAAACTGATAACAGTAGTTCAGCCGAGATATTTAAATATCAAAATTAGTTTTACGACCCGTAAAAGTTGTTATTGTTTTCATTCTCAAGTCCTACCCTTCGCCGTTTCGCCAGAACTCCGCGCGGCTCACTCATCTCACTGGTAAAATAACATGTGGCCGCAGAACTAAAAGAAGTCTTGTTATGACTTAAACATCATTTTAGACCACATGTACCCCAATTATACACTCCTATTTTGGACATCAATTGCTTATTTATTTTGCATAATCTATAATTACATTGCTTTTATGTAGTTTTTTTTTTTCATCTCAAATGTCCCAAAAAAATAAAAAAATAAAACATTCATTCGAAACATTCATTCAACATTAGCACGGCTCATGGCAATGTGAATGGAGACAGACAAACAACTGATAAAATAATTCCCTGTGGTTGCTGCTGGATTTGGTGTGTATCTGGCAACCTGAGTCAGGGAGAGTGGGAGAGGACTACAAAATATTGACTGTGACTAGCACTTTTGGCCGGATTTTTACATATTGTTCCTTTAAGCCTTTAACTCTGACATGATCAGTAACAGTCTGTTTGATTCAAGAGGCAAGGAGCTTGTGCTCAAAAGTAAGTACTAATAAATGGCCATACGAAAATATATCAATCGTATTAAACACATGCGTTATTTACATGAAACATCACATTTTAAAACCAAATGATTACTCTAACTACAATTGTTATAACAGAGAAAGTCTGTACTCATCTTTGGGTTTTCATAATTACTTCCACAATTAAGACTGTTAGCATTAGGGAGCTCTCAAAATGACTCCCAGTACTGAAGAAAAAGAAAAAAGAAAAAATCTACTTAATCACCTAACAAACCTCTGATATGATAGTAGAGGGGGATATGTTCTGCTACAAATTTTATTACAATTGACTTTTATGTCCTAATTAAAACATATATTCAACTTTTACCTTAACCTCATCAAGGTCGCTCCTCTCTCCGCTCTGCTATCTATGCTAATGAGGGACGCGTACGTATGTCAGCATTACGTCACATATAACCAGAATGATTGACAATTAGGAGGACAAGTTACTTAGGTGATTCACTCGAAAGAACAGAATCCTCTAGTATACCTATAAGTTGACAAAGAAAAATAGAAAAAATAAACAGGGAAACACTTTGACTAACCCACTAATTTACTGCTGTCTCAAAAAAAGCCCTGTTTACACAGAGATGCTGCGACAGTAAAACGTTAGAGTCGGCTTATACTGGTTGGGGTCGTGCTGTTCCAATGCCCACTACTAGCCGGGCGATAGAACTGCAACGTTTTCCATCGCAATATCGAATACGGACGCCGAGTGAACAAAAGGCTAATGGCAAGGCAAGTTTATTTGTATAGATGGTTTTCCATCACGTGCTTATTACCCATAATGCTTTGCACGAACGCCATGCTGCGCGTCAAGCTTATGTACGTATAATTTGTCACGGATCATTTGTCCCCATGTCATCTAAAGCCACGAATTCGGCCGACACTGACCACGTTAAGTACACTGGAGTAATCTGTGAGGCAAGATCCTTGGAGAAATTGAGTGATCGTAGATTTGGATCTGTATGAAACGCGGCGAGACCAGTGGACTTCGCCAGAAATGGCTTACTTTCACTTAACAGTTTTACACTTAAAAAAAGGTCATGATGTATATGATGCAATTACTCTTTCAATTAATAATTTATTTTGAACGAAGCAGTTGATATCACAGGCCGTAAATCACTTCTGTCTTCATCTGCAGTGTCAAACATGGTGGGCGGCGCACCATGCTATGGGCCTGCTTTTCTTCATCAGGTTTTTAAAGCCTTAATCATTTATTATAAACCTATAAAGCAGTCTATATTATGTTTCAGCTATAGAGTCTAGCACCAGCCGTCCTCCTGCTCCGTCCACACTGCCCACTGCTCCTCCAACCTCTCCCACCATCAGAGCCTCTTCCTCTGGGCTTCTTGTTCCTCTGCTCTGTTCCATCCTGGGCCCGCTGCTGCTGCTGCTGCTGCTGCTGCTGCTGTTGTGGGTCAAATACTGCAAACGCAAACCCAATGAAAGTGAGTTCCCTTTTTGAATTGTTGCATCATCTGTTGATAATTCATGTATACATATATTTCAGAAACAAAATCCATACAAGCTGTATGTATGCATCAACAACAACAGGGCTGTTAGGGGTGACATATTTTCTCATTTCAAAGTAGAAGAAAAATAGTTTTTTCCTGTTTTTTTAATTAAGCGGTCGTTACAGGTATGTTTGTTTGTCTGCATTATGATCTTCAGCCTGGACTCGGCGTGTTTTACCTCATCAACGACAAATACATCAGTGGATGTAGGAGTGTATTGTAAGTCTAGGATCTAGGGACTTTATAGCTGAGCAGCCAAAGCCGCATTCAGGAGATTGAGTACATTTTTAAAGATTATTTTTAATGCCCAAATATCACTTTTTTCACATCTACTCAATGTAATCAAATTCTACATTTTACAATGTTTATCCTGCCGTTGACATTTGTACATGATTCCAGGCACTCGAACTCAACCAGAGGCTGACGAGATCACGTACAGTGACATATTACATCATCGGCAGAGACGACCAATCACACTCCCAGGTCAGGATCCGGCTCATACAGTATGAATTTGAACTCATATGAACTATTGACACTGTTTCTGATTGACACTTTTTAAATCGACACTTTTTTACTGTACATAATATCCTGTATGTGTAAGCCCTCAGTCGTACAGGGATTAGTCAAAGCAAAGGAAGGTTTCTCACCCATCATCTGTACTTCTTAGCAACAGGGAAAGTTAGGGAAAACTTGCTAAGAAGTACAGATGATGGGTGAGAAACCTTCCTTTGCTTTATAATATCCTGTATTTAACATGTTTGCACATTTCTTTCTTTTGGCACAATCTTGAGTGATTCTATCCATGCTAGATGTGACATGTAAATTTCTCCTTTGTGAGATCAATAAGGTATATCTTATCTTATCTTATCTTACACATAGGGATGAACTGAAATCATCATTGGACACATTAGGGCATTATCTGGAAGAAATTAATTGTTAATAGTGTTTAGGGCTGTTCCAAAAAAGCATTACATCAACAATGGATAGCAATCTTTACTTTGGCCAATATTGATCAATGATACATACAGACCCTAAAAACATAAGGGGCTAGTGTTTTTGGCAGGTGGATGGAAACTGGAGCATCCGGAGGAAACCCACATCCAAACTCCACACAGAAAGGCACAGAGATCAAACTTGCAACCTTCTTGCTGCACTTGCCGAGCATAGACCAGGAGTGAGCTGACAAATGTGAATGTGGAGCTAAATATATACAAATATTGTTGGTGGACGTGGGCAAGTTACCAAGCGACTGATCAGAGCGGCGCTGGTCTGTCCCCTCTTAAGCATAATTATGTCATCTTTATTTATGTAGCGCCTTTCACAGACCAGAGTCAGCGCTTTATAATTGGGAATTCACTCTTGGGAGATGGAAGCGGGGTCGCCAGTACAGGAGGCGTATGCCAGACCTACTGTACATGTTTTTAGTAGTAGGGGAAACCGGAATATTTGGTGGTAACCTACACAGACACGGGGAGAACATGCAAACTCCACTCAGAAAGGCCCCGTTCCGACCGGGATTCAAACCCTTCTTGCTGAAAAGCCACTATACGCCCAGCGTTCTTGCGCTAAAGTCAAATTTGGCGACAGAAGGCTCCTGGTTGGTCAGTTGTTAGGGTTCATATCTGGAAAACAATCACACGAAAACCACTTTTCAAAATATTGATATCGCAATATTTTTGCCTCAAGATCAATTATTAATATTCTATAATTCTAAGTATGATATGATAACTTACCCTTTTGCTGATGGGTCTTATTTAAATAAGTAGTCAATGCAAGTGAAAACCTAATGGAAGGGGAAGTTTTATTATGAAGCTTATTGTTTGCAGCTGTGTTTGTATATATATTTATCTTTATTTATGTTTCATATTATGGAGGTAAAAAACGGATTGTTGGACTAATTTTATTTCACCAAATTTTGACTATTGTGTTTTGGGTTCATTGACTAGAAAATAACAGCCTGGGTTGTTTTGGTGTGAAAATTAGCTTTAACATTAATAACATGCCATTGAAGCTTCTAATCTCTTTCCATCAATGTTTGGAGTTTACCAACAATAATTTAGAATCTTTTGGGGCACTATTAAAAATGGCTCCACTTTGGGCACCTCTGAGTTAGAGAGTTATCATTGTCCATCTATATACAGTCTGTGGTGCCTCTACTGTCTGTGTTTGCAATGTTTGGCAGAAACATGCTCAATTTAAGACGTTTCAGTATTTGTTCTGAGCATTGCTACAGGGAAATGTGTTTTACATGGCTGAACATGTTTTAAATGACCTGAATTGGGCTTGTCCCCACCAACACATATATTAATTTGAATAGTTAAAATGATGGAGATATTGAGGGAGAATAATCAAATACCACACTGTACACTTATATACTTCATTAAAATGGCTGTTTTTGAAATATAGTTACACAACATACAACTCAACTGTTTTCTCTGTTCATGCATTTTTTCCATCCCTGTTTTTTGCAAAGGGACCACATGACCATTTACTGCTAATAATACAAAGGTCTGTGCACTGGTTCTGTGGTGGATGAGGCCCACCCGAGTGAGACGTGTGGTTTCAACTGTCACTGCTGCATGCGTGTGGCTTTTTCCATTTTGATGTTTTTCCTCTGACGATTGGTTTCCTCTGAATGTTCACACCTCACACATTTCATTTCAGTTATATATTTGTTTCAAACATGCACAAGATTAACAATTATTCACAGAAAAATAGAATAAAATACTACGAACAGAAATACCTCTACATGGTTCGAAAAGGGATTGGATGAAGCAAAAAGTTTTATATTAATCAAATCCCCTCCACCATTTAGACACACACTACAATACAAAAACGATGCTCTACAATACATTAAAACATTACAAATGACTGAAAAAAGGGACACACACATTACCACGGGCAAACAAACACCAGTGGCATGACGCTAACCATAACACACACACACACACACACTTATTAACACAGAGCAAGACATAGGCTCAGAATGGGTTTTTTGTAAATTTAGTTTGATCTCCCCAACATGACAACTTAAACTGGTTTATTACACGGCTCCTCACAGCAGCAGTAGAATGCTCCATCGATTTGAATGTAATTTCAAAACGTACCGGTCATTATTTTTTATAACGGACCTCTCAAAACAATAATGACCTCTGCCCTTTGGCTCTCTGCTTGTATTTCAGATGCGTGGATAACTCCGCAAGTAGTTCCGGCCACTCCGGAGCTAGCCACGCTCAATAAACACACTTAAATGTTAATCGGAGAATACTTATACATATACATTCTTCACACACGTGCATGGAGATTTTCAGAATTTTCTGGTCTTGTCTTCATGACAAAAATACTATTTCTCTGCGTCAAAAAGCGATCGTGAAAAACCCGAAAGTATTTCCAGCCACTCCCGAGCTTTTCACGCTCAATAAACGCAAATGCCAATCAATCAACGCAATTAAATGTTAATCGGAGAATACTTATACATATACATTATTAATACAAGTGCACGGAAGTTTTCAGAATGTTCTGTTTCCGTTTTCATGACAAAAACACTGATGTAATGCGAGAAAAAGCGATCCCGAAAAACCCGGCAGTAGATACCGGCACATTTTAGGAACATTTGCAGAGGATCAAATTATGGATTTAGGTTAAGTTTATGTTTGGGTCACTCACCGCTGATGTTCAGGGTTCTTTGTTCAGTTTTCATGCAGTTCATAGCATAGCCACGGGAAAGCCTTTGGGAACTATTTTATTTTCTGTCATTAAATAAACCTTTCGGCATTCCTAAAAGTGGACTGAAGTTTATTTTGTGTGTTCTGTTGGTATAAAGCCGTATAAAAAGCGGGATAACGTATATGACGCAGGTCATTATCGGAAAATAAGTACCGACCGGGCGAAGCGGACCCTGTAGGTACTTATTTTCCGTTCTGTTCTGTAGTACATCACATCTGAAATTAAACAAAATACAGTGTTTTTAAATAAACAAATCAAATTATTAGTCTAGTCCAGACTAACGTTTGAAAGAACAAAGATGCAACATGTATTAGTCAACTGCACAACCGCTAGGTCAGTTTATTACAAATATTCCGTAGAAACATTACACATTTACTCAGTTAGATAAAAACAGGACTCATGTTGTACTTACAGTAAATGTGCTGATTGCTGAAACAATGCACTGTTTGATTAGTTTCAAATTCTGCGTTTTTCAGAGAATGTGCAGAGTCCAGTTTATTCATCTGTGAAAACTGAAGAAATCCAGTACTCTTCAGTCAACATCAAGACTCGAGGTAAAACCAGAACTGAAGCAGAGACTGAAGCAGAGACTGAAGCAGAGACTGAAGCAGAGACTGAAGCAGAGACTGAAGCAGAGACTGAAGCAGAGACTGAAGCAGAGACTGAAGCAGAGACTGAAAGCAGAGACTGAAAGCAGAGACTGAAGCAGAGACGGAAGCAGAGACTGAAGCAGAGACTGAAGCAGGGACTGAAGCAGGGACTGAAGCAGAGACGGAAGCAGAGACTGAAGCAGAGACTGAAGCAGGGACTGAAGCAGAGACGGAAGCAGAGACGGAAGCAGAGACGGAAGCAGAGACTGAAGCAGAGACGGAAGCAGAGACTGAAGCAGAGACTGAAGCAGAGACGGAAGCAGAGACTGAAGCAGAGACTGAAGCAGAGACTGAAGCAGGGACTGAAGCAGGGACTGAAGCAGAGACGGAAGCAGAGACTGAAGCAGAGACTGAAAGCAGAGACGGAAGCAGAGACTGAAGCAGAGACTGAAGCAGGGACTGAAGCAGGGACTGAAGCAGAGACGGAAGCAGAGACTGAAGCAGGGACTGATGCAGGGACTGATGCAGGGACTGATGCAGGGACTGATGCAGAGACTGATGCAGAGACGGAAGCAGAGACTGAAAGCAGAGACTGAAAGCAGAGACTGAAGCAGAGACGGAAGCAGAGACGGAAGCAGAGACTGAAGCAGAGACTGAAGCAGAGACTGAAGCAGAGACTGAAGCAGACACTGAAGCAGACACCGAAGCAGACACCGAAGCAGACACTGAAGCAGACACCGAAGCAGACACCGAAGCAGAGACTGAAGCAGACACTGACACAGAGACCAGGACAGAGCCATGATTGCTTTTGTGTTTCAGGAAAAGGTCGTGTCAGACGCACAGAAAAAGGTATAAAGGTTTTTTTCATCAATTTACAGTATAAAGTGCTTATTTTTTGGGTTTGTTTATGGTAGCTGAGTTGATAATAATTTTGAGTGCCACTCATATAAAAAAAATGCTGTTGATAAAAAAAAATATATCTTATTTTACGATTGAAAAAAGTGTTATACTTTATACTACAGTAAATGTGCTGATTGTTGAAACAATGCACTGTTTGATTAGTTTCAAATTCTGCGTATTTCAGAGAATGTGCAGAGTCCAGTTTATTCTTCTGTAAAAACTGAAGAAATCCAGTACTCTTCAGTCAACATCAAGACTCGAGGTAAAACCAGAACTCAAGCACAGACTGAAAGCACAGACTGAAAGCACAGACTGAAAGCAGAGACAGAATCAGATATTGAATCAGAGACCGAAGCAGGGACTGAAGCAAAGACCGAAGCAGAGACCGAAGCAGAGACCGAAGCAGAGACCGAAGCAGACTCTGACTCACTCCCAAACTTTAAATCCGTCTCAAAACCGACCAGGACTGAGCCGTGATTGCTTTTGTGTTTCAGGAAAAGGTCGTGTCAGACACACAGAAAAAGGTATAAAGGTTTTTTTTCATCAATTTACAGTATAAAGTGCTTATTTTTTGGGTTTGTTCATGGTAGCTGAGTTTATAATCATTTTGAGTGCCACTCATATTAAAAAAATGCTGTTGATAAAAATTTATTATTTTACGATTTAAAAAAGTGTTATACTTGTTTTGTAGAGGAGAATCCAGTTTATTCCTCGGTGAAAACTCAAGATGTGTGCCATTCCCCCATCATCATCAATGAGACTGGAGGTAAAACTAGGACTGAGCCAAAACTAAAAAAGGTCTGAAGAATAGTGAAAACTTGAATAAACATGGTCAATGGGATACACTTGTGTGTGCGTAAAAATAAAAGGCATTATTGTGACTTTGGTCCCTTAAAAATGATATTGGTAATATTTTCTTCAGCGCAGTCATAAGAAGAGAGAAGGTCTGAGGCACGAGGTCATAGTGAGGCCTCGGACTTCTCTCTTCTTTCACTAAAACATGCGTTCAGTCTACACCTTGTGATCCAGGTGAGCACTCCCAGCTTCTGAAATGAATATATTTAAGAAATGAATTCAGATTTTTCATTTCAAATTGGCCATATTTTGTAATACAATTTTACACCAGAGGCATGTGACTTAATCATCGAGTGTAAACAAAACCGTTTGTAGTAAATCTTCCACTTTTGATGTAATCAGAAGAATTGGTGTTATTTGAGCAAAAAACAAACCAAAACAAATCTGAAAATTTGCTTTAAAAATTAATTTGTAAAATATAAACATGTAAAACAATAGTGAAACAGGTAGAACAGTAAAATAATATCCTTGGTAATAATAGTATAATAATAATATCCAACCTGCTGCAGTACAATGAGAGCACTCAATTATTTTTTCATCTTAACCATAAATGTTTTAAAATGTGTCGTGAATCTACTGATTGTTACAACATATCAAAATGCTAAAAGAGGCCTCCGAGTCCTAAGCAGAATATGAACACTACTTGTGTCCTTCATATAGCCTCACTCCTGCCCCCTGGTGGTCTCCTAACGTCAATATGTGCACAGCCATGAGAGAATATTCACTTGTTCATGATGCCTTTGTTTGGAGCGTTTACAATTGCTTTTATTTTTGTTGACAGTATTTTCTTTTTTGTACTACAGATGCAGCCTCCTGGACCAAGGGAAGAAAGACAGAAACTAAATGATCCAACTACTTCCACAACACCTTTATTTATCTTTTACACGTATCTGGCATTGTTGATATTTATGCTCATATTGTCAGAAAATGTATTTGCACTATTGTGCACACAATTGAAAATAACTTCAGTGATTGAATGAAGGATATTATTTTACTGTGATTACACATGCATATATTGCTATTGATGGAATATATTTGTTGCATTGTCTTTTTTTTCTTCACACTTACCCAGTATTAGCTAAATTCTTCTTCAAAAGGGACCTTTTACTCATTATTTATTTTTCCTGTTTTCGAATATGAACTGAAATCTTCCGTAGGAATTACATGGTGACATAAGTATCAAGAATATTTAAAGCTGTCAACCTTCCCCATCCCTCAGTTCATCCTGGAGAGACCCACAATGGGGAATGCAATTAGAAGTTTATTTGATTAACCCTTTAGGCGCCAGACTTTTTTCAAGAAAATATACAATTTTGATTTCAAGATTTCAAAAGGCTATAACTTTAAAATGGTTTGAGATAAAGGCATACTGTAAATTAGAAATATCTTCAGTTTGAACCAAACTTTGGGATGGAAGTTGATTCGTCATCTAATTTGCATATTGTGACGTCATCAAGGTGGCGGCCATTTTGGAAAATGTTAATTATTGTATAAAGACTTCAAAAAGCTGTAGCTTGGGAGTTATTTGAGATCAGGGAATACTATAAACAGTCAATGTGACATATCTTTAGTATGAAATGAATTTGGGATAGAAATAAATTCCCTGATCCAGATTATAGATAATGTTTTAGCACTGGTTCGCGGCCATATGGAATTGTATTATTTTCAAAGACCTTCAGTGATCAAGACAGCACTCTTTATAGTTTACAGTCATGAAATCTTGAGATTGGTTTCAATATTTCCCTTTCAGAGAAGTAGTGGGCTTACTATTTTTCTCAGTGGAAATGAGGCTCCGGGATTTATCGTTTAGAAACAGAGAGATGAAATGAATGGGCTCAGAACTTGTCAGATCGTCTCAACAACATACAACAGGCTCTTCAACACTTCTGATCCAATTTTGTGGATTATTTTCTCTCAAGAACTGCCTTCATCCTCATCGTCGCTGCTGGTAAAGACAGTGAACGCGATTAGCGATGTGTTTTTTTCCCGCGGCTCTCCCGCGACTTCTCCCGCGTCTCCCGTGTTCCCCGTGGATGTCTACCCCGGCTACTTTCTCCCACATGCCCGGTGTTATGATGCCCCTGTCCCCTCGACCACGGTCCCTGCTTGGCGTTCACAGAATGCTTCTACAGCGGCCACACGGAGGACAAGCAGCCGCTGTACAGGGGCTGATTGTGGACTATGGAGCGCGGTCTCCCCGTCACCAATAATGTCCGTGTCTGCTTCACTGGACACCTGCGTGTCTTCCTCCTCTGAATCTGAGTGAGCCAGTACCAGACCAAGTACTTCTCTGGTACTGAAGACCTCGTGAGTAAAATAAAAAACACTCTTTCCCTCTGCTCTCGCTCCTCTCAGCTCTGACGCTGCTGCTTCGCCTCCGCGCCGCTGCGCCGCAGGTGTTTTACTAACTCAATTTACTCAAAAACTTTCAATATAACCACACCCACAACTGTTGCTCATATTACAGGCACACATGTCCACTAACCCCTGGTGAAAAGTATTAACAAGATTCTGCACCACATTTTTACATACAGCCTGTTTAAGTGAGCAATGTTGCTTGTCGCAATATTGCGACTTTGGCGCTTAAAGGGTTAAGCATGTTTGGCGCCCTAGGCCCCGGAGCGATGATGTTGAGCACGGCGCTTGCTCGCGCTCATAATCCCCCCCAGGGCCTAGGCACTGGTGGCGGCAGAGGCAGCAGGCAAGCACGCTCGAAATGGTAGAAGGAGGAGGTGGGGCGGCGGAGGATGCAAAGCTTGAGAAGGCCGGGAATTGGGCGTCTCCGGCTTTTAACTTGCTGGCCTGGCGGTTATTGGTTGACTGGAAGTGGGTGTTGCTGTGCGATGAGCCGAGGATGAGAGCAGGCCTGGAGGAGCTGGGCAGCAGGCCAGGTCTACCAGGGTGAACTTACACATGCTTCATTTCATCCTGGAGAGACCCACAATGGGGAATGCAATCAGAAGTTTATTTGATTAAGCATGTTTGGCGCCCTAGGCCCCGGAGCGATGATGTTGAGCGCGGCGCTTGCTCGCGCTCATAATCCCCCAAAGATGCGGGGATTTGGGGAAATGGGATAGCAGGACGCACTGCGCAGGACTGAGAGCATGAGTGCGAGGCTTCTCGCATGGTCGCTCAGCCAGGCTGCGTCTGATGGGAGCCCGCATCTGTTTGGAGCAGAAAGATGCGGGGCCTGAGCGAGCTGAGAACATGAGCGCGGGGCAGCAGGGGTGAGTCATGATCTCCAGGCGCTGCAAGCTAGGAGCAGGTGTTATCCCTAGCGAGCTGAGAACATGAGCGTGGGGCCGCTCAGCACCCACTCCGGGGAGTAAAGTGCGAGTCCAGCACGGTGCATCATGTTCAACCAGACGCTGCAAACTAGGAGCAGGGGGAGAGTGTTGAGGGGAGTGCGTGCCGCCACCAGGAGTCTTATGCTTATGCTTGCCTGCCTTGCTTGCTGGGAGCTTATGAGGATGCCAGTAGTCGCTGTGCTGCAATGATAGTTGAATCTGGCTTGATGTAGCGGAGAGAGCCAACGAGGACCAGCGCCCCAGCTGTTGCAAGAAGAATGGGGGAGCCCCAGCGAGGCCGCCCGCGTGGCAGCGCCTGTCCTGAACGAGTGGGCTGTGTAGAGCTGTGGAGACAAGTTACAGAGGAGCAGTAGGGATTTTAGCTGAGCTCTGAACCACGTTGCTGTCATGGGAAGGTTGTCTGGAGTGAGAAATAAAGGTCCGTTAAGATCTCCTGTTTGACAGCGGAGGTGAGAGAAACGCATCCCGGACTTGTAGGGGCAGAGAGACGTATGGGAGCGGGCCATTATTATGTTACAAGCGCCCTTACGCTTAGAATTCTTGAGGTGGAGATTAAATAATCAGGATAGTAGGACAGCTCGGGAAAAGCCGTGTCCTGGGCCACATTGAAGTTGATTGAGCAGTAGGGAACTCGCTTATGCGGAGAAGGTCATAGAAGGCGAGCAGGAAGACGCTGCGAAGGAGGGCAGATGTGTGCTTGGAAAATGAGCCGGAGTTCAGTGCCGCGCAGAGCAGCTGCAGGATGGGCAGCGTGATGGGGAACCTGCGATCAGAAGAGTGAGGAGTACAGTTATGGATGCCTTGATGAGGAGTTTGACTGCTCGGAGCGAGGACAGCTCAGCACGGCTACTCTGCCAGCTGCACCTGATAGAAGCAGAGAATTAAGCAGAGAGATGAAGCATGACAGCCGGAGCAAACCTGAGAGCATGGTGCGAGACAGCTCAGCACAGCTCTGCATCTATTTAGTATGGATTTGAGTTGGGCTCCGGACCAGTTAGCCGTCATGGGTAGGTTTTCGGGAGAGAGCTGATAGATAGCCATGGTGCAGTGACGGCACGGCTGAGACCCCCAAAACAGCGGTGCACGAGGGGGGCCCGAGAGAGTCCAGCAAGGCGAAGCGCGAGCCACCCTGGCGGCGAGAGCAGCGCCGGGATCCCGAGAAGCAGTGTGCGGAGAACGCCGGGAAGCAGCCGCCAACGGCCGTACGGCAGGTGCCCACAAAGCGGACGCGAGCCACCGGCAGAGGCACCAGCACAGGCACCAGCACAGGCACCAGCACAGGCACCAGCACAGGCACCAGCACAGGCACCAGCAGACAGACGGAGCCTGCAGACCAGTGCGCGGGGGCCCAGACGGAGCCTGCAGACCAGTGCGCGGGGGCCCAGACGGAGCCTGCAGACCAGTGCGCGGGGCTAGAACGGAGCCTGCAGACCAAAGCCAGGGTTAATGCAGAGAGCCTGCAGACCTGCGCACGGGGCTAAAATAGACCGCATGCAGACCTACAGGACTGGAAGCGGAAGGGCGAGATTCTGCGAGAGTCCCGCCCGTGGACACAAACAAAACACACGTGCCGGTTGCATGCTGCTGAGATCGCCGACGTCGTCCCCTTCCATGGAACTCTTCCAGCGCCGCTTCGGACACGTTTCGTCTCTGGAACAAAAACTGAGTGCGCGTTCGGAATTAGCTGGGCAACTCCGGCAAAGCCCCAAGTTTCCACACGCCGGGGAGACGAGAAAGGTGCAGGGCCGTGGTCAACTCATCATAACATTATACTGTAGTGATTTCATAACACCTTTAAGCAACTATGGTTAAAGTTCTAACTACATTCTTACATATGCAGAAGCCTGCACTTTTCCACTTGATGTTTTGTCCATCTGAAGGCCAAGCTACAAGCACACCGTGGCAGCTGCTGATTGAAGGTCTCCATAGACCTTCAACCTTGGTTATAGCCAATATACATGAACGATCACTTTTCTATCTGTTCATTAGCTCCAATTCCACTTCAACTCATTGCAGATTTTATTTTTATTTTTTTTACTTTCTGCTGCGCCGTCGAATGCAACATGACGTAGTTTAGTTACGTAATCATTTAAACTAGTGACCTATGCCATTTAATATGCATTGCCCCTCCTTTATCCCTCAGATAACTAAAGATGAATGCTATTTACGAATAAATGTATTGATCTCTCCTGTGTGAGATTAAATAAACATTTCCCCCAAACGCGAGCCACAATGAAAGGCTCGGCCGCGCACGAGTTACAGGTTAGCAGAAGCTGCAAGTTAGCTGAACACATGTTAAAACGGAGCCTGCAGACCAAAGCACGGGGCGAAAACTGACGCCTGCAGACCAGTGCGCAGGGCAAAAACCAACCGCCTGCAGCCCAGACTCAGAGAACAAACCGTTCGCAGGTCAGCACACTCACCACCACCACACGCCAGAAGACGTGGGAAAAGCAACGGGACAACGCGGCACCGCCAAACGGAGGCAGGGACACGCACAGACCCCCGCACCGGCCAGACCGTCTGCACGCAGCAGCAGACCACGACGAGACGAGCAGCAGCGAGCCCGCAGAAGAGCCCGCAGGAGAGGAGAGCGGCGGAGACACACGGGCCACAGCGCGCGATCTGCAGCAGGTGGAGGAACGCAGAGGAGGAGCAGACCACAAGCAGCCAGACTGAGAACAGCCGGGTCACACGCGACGAGCAACACGTGAGCAGAAAAGCGACCCCTCCAGAACACCGCATGCAAAGCTTGAGAAGGCCGGGAATTGGGCGTCTCCGGCTTTTAACTTGCTGGCCTGGTGGTTATTGGTTGACTGGAAGTGGGTGTTGCTGTGCGATGAGCCGAGGATGACAGCAGGCCTGGAGGAGCTGGGCAGCAGGCCAGGTCTACCAGGGTGAACTTACGCAGGCTTCGTTTCCCACCACAGGGAGGGGTAGAATTCATTCAGATTATTTTCTTCCATATATTTAAAGATTACTGACTGCAAACACAGTCCTATGATTATAAATAACAAAATATGGGAAGTAAATTTGTTTCAAAATGCAGAAACACAGTAATGAATGATGACATGAAGCATCTTTCAGGTTCCAAAAAAGTCAAACATTATTTACAAACTAGAAAAACCCTTGTTGAAAGCAGACCACCAAAAAATCCTCGATCCGAACAGAAATCCAGATCACCTACTGTAGGGTTTACTGTATCAAAAGGAAATGTGTCCTCATCATTTGACCCATCCTTCCATTACCACTGGGGAAACCTGTGGCGCTGCACTAAAGGACCCATCCCCAGATGTTGTTGCTCGTCTTGGTCCAGAAAGTCGCTGGAGGATAAACCTGTTACATGTTTGTTTTGGGTTTATTTTAACATGTTCCTTGTCTCATTTCAGAGGTTTTCTGAAAATGCGTTAGATGTTGGCCAACAGACGAATGGACAAACCCTGGTGGTCCATTTGCTCATTTGCATATCTTTTTTTAATTCTTTATCTGCCCCACTGCTTTTCAGAGCACCCTGCACAATGCACGCTTCCTACTTCGTCTCACTGCGAGCAGAGACTACATTATCCATACATTTTATGAGGGAAAGGCACTTACCACAGTTTGCCGCTGAAAACAACTCAACATGGTGCTCGGTCCACACAAACAAGTGGATTCCGGAGGCAATATACATAAACAAACGATATGCAAATACAAAAGGCAAATTGTGAGTCTCATAATATGGACCAAGAACTCTCCTTCAGAGCACATATAAACCAAGCAACTAAAACTGTATATTTTTTATCTGCACAAAATTGCTAAAATTATGAATATCCTTCCTAAAAGTGATGCAGTAAAACTGTTCCACGTTGATCCTCAAACTGTTTGATTCTCTAATCTGTCGTTGAGGATTTTCAACTATGTAAAGTCCTCCGGGGTGACTGCCTTTGTGATTTAGGGATATATGAAAATATATTGAATTGAATAATATATTCATCTTTATAGGTTTAGTGAAATGACTATTCTGACCTGTCATTTGGGCTTTTTGCAATTTGGGCATATTGCCTCTGGTAGGCCAAAACCAATTATCTTAATTTACTTCTCACGAAATAAAATATTGTGATCATGGATTTGACAAGATAGCAAGATGGGAAGCCAATGTATGTTGTTATGATGTGTTACGCAGATCTTGTTTTGCATCTTCTGTCTGGACTCAGGTGGCTTGAGAAGGCTTGGCTCTGGAATTTGACTCCACCCATTTCTCAACATGTCATTGTCATGGTGTTTATTTTCTTCCGTAGATTAAAATCTGTTATATATATATATATATATATATATATGTGCACCCAGTCAAACACGTTTTTAACTGACATAAACAATGACAACACTCATTTTGTTTCATTTATTTTTTTACATTTACAATATTACCAAAACAATAATAATAATGTGCAGGATCCTTAAGGCTCCCTGTTCAATATTGCATCCAATACAAGCTCCTTCTCCTCACCCACAAGTCCCTCCATAACCTGGCCCCACCCTCCCTTACCGAGCTCCTACAAAAACACCAACCCACCCGCCACCTTCGCTCAGCCCATTCCAACCTCCTCACTCCCATCACCCGCACTAACCGCCAGATCTTGAGGGAAAGAGCCTTTGCCATTGCCGCCCCAACCCTCTGGAACTCACCAAACTTTAAATCAGTACTTAAAACCCACCTGTTTGTACAAGCTTTTCCATAAACCCCCCTTTTTTGTGTTCAAAAAAACGTTATACAAGTTTGACGTATTATTATTATTATCATTAAGGTGTGGGTGGATAGAGCCCATGAGATTAGTTTAGTTGGATTAGTAGTAGTAAGTAAGTAATGTTTATTTTTATACACCAACCAGCACAGGGCCATGAAAACATCTGGGCTGACGGTGCATAAGTTGGCCTACCGGGGACATCAGAAATCCTACGCAAAAGCACTCTCATCAGCAAGGTCAGGTCATTTCTCCACAATCATTAACAATAACCCAGGTAATTCCAAAAAACTTTTCTCCACCATACAACATCTTCTCAAACCTCAGTTGCGTTCCCATCACACCCCAACAGTAACGAATTGCAATAACTTCCTTGATTTTTTTCACTTCCAAAATTGACAACATCCGTTCCACCCTCACAGCTACACAAGATTCTTCCCTAGGCATTTCAAAATCCCCCTAATCACATAGTCTCTCATTTCACACCCATGATGCAGCAGGAGGTCGAGAAGATCATTCATACCTCTAAACCATCCACCTGCTCCTTGGACCCACTCCCTACCCCTCTGCTCAAAACCTACTCCAAATTCATCAGTCCCACAATAACCAAAATTATCAATCTCTCCCTTGGCACTGGCACCATTCCACTCTCCCTCAAAACAGCTCTCATAAAACCATTACTTAAAAAACCCACTGTATGGAGCTATTATTGTTTCAATAATATTTGTGTGTGCGTATACAGATTTGTGTGTGCGTAACCAGATTTGTGTGTACGTAAAAAGATTTGTGTGTGCGTAACCAGATTTGTGTGTGTGTAAAAGAAATATTTTTGCGTGTGTAAATAGATTTGTATGTACGTATCAAGATTTGTGTGTGCGTAAAAAGATTTGTGTGTGTGTAGAAAGATTTGTGTGTGTGTAAAAAAAAAAAAAAGTACGTTTTACACACAAGTTTTTTTTTTACACATGAATCTTTTGACGCAGTCCTGCCTTCGCAGATTCGCAAGTGTAACTTGGACTGTGTGCGTGCGTAAAAAGATTTGTGTGTGTGTAATTTGACATTTGTATCTGTAACAGAACAATCTGTGTGTAAATAACCATGTTGTACGAAGAGAAGAACGAAAAAAGCCTAAGTGCTAAGCACAGGCTCTGTTTTACACACGAATCTCTTTTTGACACACCTCTGCCGCCAAGCGTGTGTCAAAAAGATTCTTAAGTGTAATGTGGTTGTTCTAGCAGTACACCAGCAGATGGTGCTGTTGTAGCTGGTTATTACCTACACGCAAGCAAACCAAAACCTACTGCCTTGACAAGACACACTACCGCAGCTGTTTATGATATTTTTTCCATCCATCCATCCATCCATTTTCTTCCGCTTTATCCGTTGCCGGGTTGCGGGGGCAGCAGTCTAAGCAGAGACGCCCAGACTTCCCTATCCACACACACTTCCTCCAGCTCGTCCGGGGGGACCCCAAGGCGTTCCCAGGCCAGCTGAGAGACATAGTCCCTCCAGCGTGTCCTAGGTCTTCCGGCGGGGCCTCCTCCCGGTGGGACGTGCCCGGAACACCTCCCCAGGGAGGCGTCCAGGAGGCATCCGGAACAGATGCCCGAGCCACCTCAACTGGTTCCTCTCGACGTGGAGAAGCAGCGGCTCTACTCCGAGCTCCTCCCGTGTGACTGAGCTCCTCACCCTATCTCTAAGGGAGCGCCCAGCCACGCTGTGGAGGAAGCTCATTTCGACCGCTTGTATCCGCGATCTTGTTCTTTCGGTCATTACCCAAAGCTCATGACCATAGGTGAGGGAGGGAACGAAGATTGACCGGTAAATCGAGAGCTTTGCCTTTCGGCTCAGCTCCCTCTTTACCACAACGGTCCAATAAAGCGACCGCATCACTGCGCACGCTGCACCGATCCGCCTGTCAATCTCACGCTCCATTCTTCCCTCACTCGTGAACAAGACCCCGAGATACTTGAACTCCTCCACTTGAGGAAGGACCTCTCCACCCACCTGCAGAGGGCAAGGCACCTTTTTCCGGTCGAGCACCATGGCCTCGGATTTGGAGGTGCTGATTCTCATCCCAGCCGCTTCACACTCGGCTGCAAACCGTCCTAGTGCATGCTGCAGGTCCTGGTTCGTTGGAGCCAACAGGACAACATCGTCCGCAAACAGCAGAGATGAAATCCTGTGGTCTCCGAACCGGACCCCCTCCGACCCCTGGCTGCGCCTAGATATTCTGTCCATAAATACAGTGAACAGAACCGGTGACAAAGGGCAGCCCTGTCGGAGGCCAACATTCACCGGGAACAGGTCTGACTTACTGCCGGCAATGCGAACACAGCTCTGGCTCCGGTCATACAGGGATCGGATGGCCCTCAGCAGAGGACCTCCGACCCCGTACTCCCGGAGAACCCCCCAAAGGACACCCCGGGGAACACAGTCGAACGCCTTCTCCAAATCCACAAAGCACATGTGGACAGGTTGGGCGAACTCCCATGAACCCTCGAGTATCCGATGGAGAGTATAGAGCTGGTCCAGTGTTCCGCGACCGGGACGAAAACCACACTGCCCCTCCTGGATCCGAGATTCGACTATCGGCCGTAGCCTCCTCTCCAGTACCTTGGAGTAGACCTTACCGGGGAGTCTGAGGAGTGTGATCCCACGATAATTGGAACACACCCTCCGGTCCCCCTTCTTGTAGAGAGGGACCACCACCCCGGTCCGCCACTCCATTGGCACTGCCCCCGATCGCCACGTGATGTTGCAGAGACGTGTCAGCCAAGACAGTCCTACAACATCCAGAGACTTTAGATAATCAGGGCGGATCTCATCCACACCCGGAGCCTTGCCACCATGGAGGCTACCAACCACCTTGGTGACCTCAGCCAGGGAGATGGATGTATCCGCCCCAACATCCTCAGCCTCTGCCTCTGAAACAGAGAACGTGACGGGGGGATTGAGGAGAACCTCAAAGTATTCCTTCCACCGCCCGACAATATCCCCAGTCGAGGTTAGCAGCTCTCCACCCGCACCGTACATGGTGTTGGCAAAGAACTGCTTCCCCCGCCTGAGGCGCCGGATGGTTTGCCAGAATCTCTTCGAGGCCGACCGATAGTCATGCTCCATGGACTCTCCGAACTCCTCCCAGTCCCGGGTTTTTGCCTCTGCAACAGCCCGGGCCGCGGCACGCTTGGCCTGCCGGTACTGGACAGCTGCCTCAGGAGTCCCCCGAACCATCATGGCTCGATAGGACTCCTTCTTCAGCCTGACAGCATCCCTTACTGCCGGTGTCCACCACCGGGTTCGGGGGTTGCCGCCGGGACCAGCACCAGAGACCTTGCGACCACAGCTACGAGCCGCCGCATCGGCGATTGAGGCAGAGAACATGGTCCACTCGGACTCCATGTCCCCCTCCTCCGCCGGGACCTGGGAGAAACTCTCCCGGAGGTGTGAGTTGAAAGTCCGTCTGACAGGGGGCTCAGCGAGACGTTCCCAGCAGACCCTCACTATACGCTTGGGTCTGCCAGGTCTGACCGGCTTCTTCCCCTGCCAGCGGATCCAACTCACGACCAGGTGATGATCGGTTGACAGCTCCGCCCCTCTCTTTACCCGAGTGTCCGAGACACGCGGGCGAAGGTCAGATGATACGACAACAAAGTCGATCATCGACCTCCGGCCTAGGGTGTCCTGGTGCCACGTGCACTGGTGGACACCCTTGTGCTCGAACATGGTGTTCGTGATGGACAAACTGTGACTGGCACAGAAGTCCAACAACTGAACACCGCTCGGGTTCAGATCAGGGGGGCCGCTCTTCCCGATCACCCCTCTCCAAGTGTCACTGGCGTTTCCCACATGGGCGTTGAAGTCCCCCAGGAGAATAACGGACTCTGCACTGCTGTTAGGCCCGTAGGCCGTCACAACAATGAGAGACTTGTCCCCCACCCGGAGGCGGAGGGACGCGACCCTCTCATTCACCGGGGAGAACTCCAACACGTGGCGGCTGAGATGGGGGGCAATGAGAATGGCCACCCCAGCTCGCCGCCTCTCCCCGCGGGAAACTCCAGAAAAGTGGAGCGTCCAACCCCTCTCAAGGAGTTGGGTTCCAGAGCCCAAGCTGTGTGTGGAGGTGAGGCCGACTATCTCTAGTCGGTATCGCTCAACCTCCCCCACAAGCTCGGGCTCCTTCCCCCCCAGTGAGGTGACGTTCCACGTCCCAAGAGCCAGCTGTTGTGTGTGCGGACTGGGTCGCCGAGGTCTCCGCCTTCGACCGCTGCCCAGTCCTCTCTGCACCGCTTCGCCACCACGGACCCCTCTGCGGGTG